AATACAACCCTCCTCATTCCATACCCCTCTGTTTCTCTTGCTCCAACCTCCCTCCTTCCTATTCAACTGTTCCCCTTTTACCTGTATCTCGAGCGGGTGGTGATCCGAGTCTATCTTATCTCCTATTCTTAAACTTTCCACTTTCCCTCTCAAATCTTCCCCTCCTATCACGTAATCTATTACCGTGTTTCCTCTACCTCCAGTGAAAGTATACTCTCCCTCTTCGTCTCCCTTCGTATCTCCATTCAGTATGCTCATCCCTTTATCCTCCAAGAATTCTACTAATCTTTTACCTTCTTTATTTATGACACTATCCTTGGAGTTTCTTATACTTTCTTCTTTCTCTCTCTCCTCCCCTCCCTCTACTCTACTACCCTCTCTTCCCGTTCTAGCGTTAAAGTCCCCACCTATGATAGTTATCCCCCCTTCTTCCCCCTTTCCTGTCCATTCCTCTAACCCCTCTAGTGTCTTCTCTATCCCCTCCCCCACGTACACACCCACTATCTTCCAAATTAATCCATTCTTTTGTACCGCACCTACTATGAACCCTTCTTTTCCTGTTTCTATCTCCGTTCCTGTAACCTTGATTTCTTTTCTTACTCCCATCAGCATCCCACCTGCCGCCCTACCTTTCTTATTCGTTCTGATTGCCCATTGTGCTCCCCATACAAACCCCGGCGGTAGCCTATTTTTCACCTTTTTCCAATCTTTCTTCTCTACCCAGGTTTCCATTAGTATTATTACCTCCCATTCCTTTAAACCCCTCCAGAACTCCTCATCTTTATTACTCAATCCCGCTATATTCCAGAACATTATTCCCCATCCCTCCCCCGCCTCCCTCCTCTTACCCTCTCTAATCTCACTTCCTATATTGACGTTCCTTCTTCCCCCCCTATAGACCTTTTTTTTAACTCCTTCACATTCCCGTTACCGTCCCTTAATACCTCTTCATCCTCGTCCCATCTCCACCATATATTGTCTATTCTGATTCTCCCATATCTTATCCATACTCTCTTCCCCTCCTTCTCCTCTTCTCTCGCTATTTCCTCTAATTTCCACTTCATTTTCCTCTCCCTCCATGTTAAATCCTCCCCTATTCTCTCTTTTTTCCCTTTCAGTTTACTCTTCTTCTCTAAAATCTTACCTCTCTGTTCTTCATTTCTTAATTTGACCCATACCATCTCTCTCCCTTTCTCTCTATCTTCT